TGAACCATCCGCCTAGATTCACACGCATGGTACGCCATGACACGAAACCTCCCTCCGAAGATCGCGCGCACGTAATCTTTGGCCGTGCCCTCAAAGGACACGCCAGATAACGATTCGCCCGATCGATAAATCGAGAACCGTCGCAGGTAAGGAAGGATACAGAGCTGAAAATGCGCCTACGGCCCATTCAGGCCTAGGAGTTTTTAGGCCGTCCCATCAACGGGTTCACAGCCGCTCCGGGGCACCCTAAGAGTGAGGGGTGGGAAGGGATGGGCCCGCTAGCGGCCAGTACCCGGGCGCACGAGCACCGCAGGCATCCCGGCCCATGTTCGAGTCTCGGCCGAATACGATCCATGGTTTTTCCTCGAAGAAAGGCAGAGAGCCATCGGGATCGGTCGAATGGACCCGAGAACTATATGGATTGACTGCTGAGAATCTGGAGTCGGTCACTAGCTAACCCAAGCCGGACCCCCGCGAACAGGATGCCAGGGCCCCACTCAGACTAGCCCTTTAACAACTAACCAAGCACCATGATTCATCCATAGAGGAAAATCATGGCACGACATAGCCCCTCCGTTTTTATCAGGAAAAACGCTCGAGGGAAAATGATCACAAAGACGAGCCGACCCTCGACCGGACCCCTGCTACGAGTGGGGGCTCGAGGAAAGTTGAACTCGTAAGGAGACCGAACGCGCGATCACAGAACGACAGACCCCCGTAGGGGTCGGAATCAGGAAAGACCTTTTTTGACCCACCAAATCTCACGGCTATACCCACGAGGGGTCCGATCATGATGAAAGAGAATCACTATCCTAGGGCATGCCATGGGCAACAAAGGAAGGCCAAGGCCCTCAAAGTCCTCACGTTCGAAAAAGCCTCCGAAGGAGTCTTCTACTCCTCCATAGGCTCAGGGGCTACTGTCGGGGACCAATACTAGGGTACCCGAAGAGCAGGAGCTAATGGTCATCAACATTAATTCATCCGAGCAGTCAAGAGCGCGACTACAGCTCCAACCAACCCCAAGGTGCGCGGGTCTACCTCGCCCGACCTCTGGGGGAGGCCTCTGCCTCGCCTGACCCCGAAGCCGCTAGGCTCCGTCTCACCTAACCCCAAGGTCGCGGGCTCCATCTCGCCTGACCTTAAGGCCGTGGGCTTCGCATAGCCCGACCCCAAGGCCGCAGTCCTTGAGGTCGGGTGAGACGGATCCTCTCTGACAGGCTCCGTCTAGCCTGACCCCAAGGGTCGCGGATCCTCTCTGACAAGGCGAGTATGTCAAGCTAGATCCAGGCCCCACCATCATGGCCATGACGGGCATGGGCCTGTTCTTCACCGAGGGCGTCGACTAGGTGTGCGCGCCACCGCTGCGTTGTGCACTCGGCGCTCGCCATGGACAAGGTCAAGGCGATGACGAGTGCGAGGGAGGTGGTCCAGGCATGGGAGGCGCGCGCCGCTAGCAGGGAGGTGACAGTGGAGCTCAGGCGCTAGTTCACGAGCTGACCACCGATGTGATCTCACGCAGGGCTTTCGGGAGCAGCTACCGGCGGGGCATGAAGGTGTTCCTGGTGCAGCGGGAGCTACATAGCTCGCCGCGTTCACAATGATGAACAGCGTCCATGCCCCAGGGCACGACGACTACGTGCCCACCAAGGCCAACGTGCGCTGGTGGTAGCTCATGCGCACGGTGCGGGGCACGCTCATGGCCATCATCCATGGGTGCTTGGCCACCGCCAAGCGCCAACAAGGCCAGCGGTTATGGCACCGACCTGCTGGGCCTCATGCTCGAGGCCAACGCCGGCGACGGTTGGCTGACGGTCATGAGCATGGACGAGATCATCGATGAGTGCAAGACATTCTTCTTGGCTGGGCACGACACGACCATGTACCTCCTCACCTGGGCCATGTTCCTCCTTGGCACGCACCTCGAGTGGCGGCGGCGGCTCAGGGAGGAGGTGCTCCGCGAGTGTGGCGGCACCGAGGTTCTCCTCAATGGCAACGCCCTCAACAAGCTCAAGCTTGTAAGCAATCAAACCCCTCATTTGATTAGCCATGAGGTGAAAAACTACGAAGTGTGACGAAATCGATGGTGCCTTGGTTAATTTGCAGGTGACAACGGTGCCATATGAGATGTTGAGGCTCTACACGATCGGCCAACCCTATCCATAGGCAGGCGACGGCGGACGTGCACCTCTACGGTGTGAAGGTGCCCAAGGGCACCGCCCTGTCCATCTCGGTCGCGATGCTGCACTGCGACGAGGAGGTCTGGGCCCGGACGCTAGCAAGTTCAAGCCTCTCTGGTTCCAAAAGGTCATTGGTGATCAAATCTAGGATTATATATAGTATTATCTTTCTTAGATCTTATTTGAATCGTTTAACAACTGAACAAATTCAAGTGAAAAAAATCATAAAATTCAAAGTTTTAGATCATGTTGAATTCTACAACTTTGGTTTAGGGCGTCTCTTCATTTTAGGTCATTCAAAAAATTTGAATTTCAAAATCAAAGAGTTCAAAACATAATTTTTGGACAATGATTTCAAATAAAACAAGTCATCAACTATAAAGTTATAGATCTCTTCTAGAGCTACAACGTAGATATAAAGTTTATCTTCGTCTAACCTAATTTGAAAAAGTTATCAACTTTTTGTTGTCTGGGACCAATACTAGGGTACCCGAAGAGGACGAGCTAATGGTCATCAACATTAATTTATCCAGCAGTCAAGAGCGCGACTACAGCTCCAACCGACCCCTAGGTGCGCGGGCTCCGCCTCGCTCGACCTCTGGGGGAGGGCTCCACCTCGCCCGACCCCGAGGCCACGGGCTCTGCCTCGCTCGACCCCAAGGTCATGGGCTTCGTCTCGCCTGACCTCAATGCCGCAGACTCCGCCTCGCCCGACCTCTGGGGGAGGGCTCCGCCTCACCCGACCTCAAGCCCACGGGCTCCGCCGCGCCTGACCCCAAGGTCGCGGGCTCCGTCTCGCCCGACATCAAGGCCGCGGGCTCTACCTCGCCCGACCCTAAGGTCACGGGCTCCGCCTCGCCCGACCCCAAGGCCGCGGGCTCCACCTCGCCTGACCTCTAGGGGAGGGCTCCACCTCACCCGACCCCGAGGCCGCGAGCTCCGCCTCGCCCGACCCCAAGGTCGCGGGCTCCGTCTCACCCGACCCTGAGGCCGCGGGCTCCGCCTCACCCAACCCCAAGGTCACGGGCTCCGTCTCGCCCGACCTCAAGGCCGCGGGCTCTGCCTCGTCCGACCCCAAGGTCGCGGGCTCCGCCTCGCCCGACGTCAAGGCCACAGGCTCCGCCTCGCCCGACCCTTGAATTTGCGCTCTACCTCGCCTGACCCCGAGGCCGCGGGCTCCGTCTCGCCCGACCTCAAGGCCACGGGCTCCATCTCGCCTGACCTCAAGGCCGCAGGCTCCGCCTCGCCCGACCCTTGGGTTTGCACTCTGCCTCACTCGACCCCTTGGGTGCAGGCTCCGCCTCGCCCGACGGGGACCATACCGCCGCCAACCACTCCAGGTCCAAGCGTATGGGCCTGGGTCAAAGCTCTGACACCAGGGAAGAGACTAGCACGTCTCGATGTAACCCGTGGCCATGACGGACCATACATGAGGGTTCACATCAAGAACAGCGTCGGGCGTGCCGATGCTGTCCTGTCTAACCCTCGTATGAACGATGACATGCGCGTCAGTTCACAACGACGTCCGCCGAGACGGTATGGAACGCCATGACCGGCAGACGACGCCTGCGCATGGCAACAGTGACGGACAGGGCCGCGACGTGGAGGTGTCTCTGTTAACATCTACAGGATCGGCGGGACCCGCATGAAGGAGAAGAAGGACCTGGCGATCCTGAAGGCCTTTTTCTCTCTCTCGTTTTTCTCTTTTCCTCCGCTATAACCCGTGCCTTCCCTTGGCCTATAAAAAAGAAAGCAGGACGTCCCATGAAGGGGATCTGAACCGATCGACTCATCGAGATCGGATCAACCCATCGACGGATAGATCTAGATCCGCACGAGATAAGCACGACACGAACACACGGTTGAGAAGCAACTGAGCTCTCAGCACCCACTGACTCCTTTCACCAGAGACTTGGAATCATTTCCCTCTCACGTCCGTTTGTAACCCCTACTACAAACTTTCAGTGCTAATAACACGAGCAACAGCGACAAACTGGACGTAGGGACTTTCTGCCCGAACCAGTATAAACCTCGTATCCTCTAAGCACACCATCCGAGCCAGATGCGCAATACTAAAAATTTACTTGTCGGTGGTAACTCAAAACACCGACATTTGTATTGTACCTATTTTAGAGGTGAGCTATATTTCCAAATGCTAGAGGCGAGGGTATTTCTAGCCGTCCCTGAGAAATAGAGGACGTTGCTAGGGATGATTGAAAAGACTAACAGTCAGGTTGGTTATTAGTTAATTTTCTATCATTACTAAATTTTTTTCTATTTTTAGTAGGGTTCAGACAATTTTTTTTTAATTTTTGATCCTAAAGAAAAAACTAACGAGTCACACACTAAGCATAGCAATTATATTAAAAAATTTATAAATATTTTTTATAGAATACTATTTTTTTATAGATATAGAATAAAAAAGTATTCTATAAAAAAATGAATGGAATTGAAACTATCGGGTGCCTCTAAAAATCGTTTATGTAGCTATGAAACAAACATGTCCCTATGTGTCTCACGCACAAAATTATATGATTTGTAAAATAATTTGCGGGCATTCGGCTAGCTAGTTAAACTTAATCAGAATCGGCCCCTCAAGGTTCTGGGGCATTTTCTTCCATGCGCACATTTCACACATCATAAGTTCAGTCTCGAATTATATTTAAAATAAAATCGCTTGGCATGAAAATTGTTTCATGCCGTCATGAACGATCATGTGCCTGTCACAAGAATCCTGATAAACTCAGACCTAACGAAGAGGATTGGTATAAAAAACCAGACTTTCTACGATCTGATTGAGTTAGTGCCATACCACCGCTGCCGCTAGACCGGCAACTCCGGCACGACGGCGCCGACGGCAGCGCGGCACATCGGGCACGTGGCGTGCGCGCGCAGCCACTGGTCGATGCACCCGCCGTGGAACAGGTGCCCGCATGTTGGCAGCCGCCGCACGGCCTCGCCGATCGCCACCAGGCCCAGGCATATCACGCACTGCGCCCACCCCGTCGCGGCGTGCTCCCGCTTGTACCGAAACGCCGCCGGGAGCGCCGAGATCGCCGCCGCGTCCATCCCTGGTTCTGCCGTACCGGCGGCCGGCCGGAACCAGCGACGATGGGCGGAGCCACCGGGGAGCGACAGGTGTAGGAAGGGGAAGCTGCGGGAGATCCTGACACGATGCGCGGCGAGAGCGAAGACGAGGAAGAGGACCACGACGGCGGTGGCCGCGGCGGGGCTGAAGAGCTGGTACGTCAAGAAGAACATCAGCGCGGAGGCGAGGAGCAGGGCGATGAGAACTCGGCTCTCGTAGGCGTAGCCATTGGTGTGGCTCGCCGCCGGGCTGGGCGGGTTGCCGGGCAACGCGGCGGCGGCGGCGGCGGCGGCGCCCGGGGGGACCATGGCGTGGCGCAGCAGTGGAAGTGGGCCTAGGAGCGCTTGCGTCTAGCGAGCCAGTGGAAACGATCGGGGTATGGGTATATGGCAGTACAAAGCGGGGGGAAACAAAATCGTCACCGAAGCTGTATTCAATTTCCAGTGGAAAAAACTGAAGTTTGAAGATTTTTGTATTAGTAATTAGTAGTAGTGGAGGTAAGATTACCTAAGTACCCCTTTAAACTGATTCTTTGGTTTTTTGGTTTGCCGCGCGATTAGAGGGACGCATGCAGCATCCACCAGCTGACATGCATGCATGCATGCAGTTGAAACACAGAGGATTCATTTTCATTTAATGTATGTGGGCCTTGTCGACTGACTAAATGTGCAATGATACTTTTTTGGAGACTAAGATTTGAATTAAAATATCAAAACAGATTTGAGACTGAGGTAATATCAATGTATCACTATCACAAAGAGGATGCTTTTCATGTGATCTTCCTTTTTTTTCTTAATGGAATCTTTCACTCGAGTTGTCTCTGGAAAAGATTTCATCCTAATATCTCCAAATAACGCATTTGTTCTGAGGTCATGCATATCATTTGCATGCAGTTGAAAGACTGAGGATTCATTTGCATTTAATGTAGTACGTGGACCTCTTTGACCGTCTAAATGGTAAAAAAAAATTAGAAAAATCGGCAAAAGAGTTGCCGAGTTACAGTATATTATTAGAAAGGAAAGCACCAATACAAAACAAAGAACAACCAAAGGGAAAAATACATGCAGTTGTGCAACTGCTTTGGGGACTAACAACACCTCCCCTACAACAACTACTACAAAAGAACAGCCAAAAGTACAACTAAAAAGCTCAAAACCAGAGAGAGTGGTGCTTGGAGGAACTGTTTTGAGCTATTTGGCATAACGATCGATGATCCTTAGAGCCCCAGCATTTTAACGAAATTGCCTGATATCCTCCTGAATAATGTAAGCTAATTGAATTGGTTGGAGACCCACTTTTCAAAATGTTCTTGGGTTCCTTTCTTTCCACAAGTTCCACTAAAAGTAGATCATTATACCATCCAAATTCCGGTTGCCCTCTTTGGAGACACTAAGCCTGCTTTTGCGCCACCACCAATAAAACGAAGTTGTTGTTGGAATGACCTGTAGGTTTGATAGACCATTACAAATGATCAAGTATTCTAGGGCCTGAGGTAACACAAAGAGGAGGCTTTTCATGTGATCTTCCATTTTTTAGTGGAATCTTCCATTTGAGTTGTTTCTAGAAGAAGAAAAAACTCCGAAGATCTCATCCTAATATCTACAAATAACCCATTTGTTCTGTGGTTATTTTTCTAGGTTGCGCCTTTTTAAATAAAATGCCTCATAGGATGAATATCAAATGGTAATAAGAGTTTGGCAAAGAATCACTTTTTATCCGAGACTGAGAAATCTGAATACAAAAATCGGGGTTTCTCCTTATAATTCAGGGAGCATCTTCCTCTTTACAAGTAACAAATATATAGTTGGATAATTGGATTTATAGTTAACTCATTGGTGGTTGAACAGCCTAGATTTTCAACATACAAAGGTTCATGCACGTCATAGAGTCATAGACACCAATATATCATCCATTACCAAGGCATTTATGGAAGGTAACATTCAGGTTCATGTAGGCAGACACCAATATAACATCCTTTACCAAGGCATTTATGAAAGATATCTACTTTTCTACTTCATCCATCCAAAAATAAATCAATTCCTAAAATCATCCAGAGTATCTTAAGTTTGACTAACTTTATAGAAAAATATAACAATATTTATGATACTAAACAAGTACAATCCATTTCATGATATATATAGTTATACTAATTTAGTATCATAAATACTAGTGTTTGTTTATAAATTTGGTCAAACTTAAAATAATTTGAATTATGACAACTCTAGAGGTTGATTTAATTCCTGATTGATGAGGGAGTAGCTAGTTACTCATTTCTAAGCATAGTACAATAACAAGTACCGCCTCGGTCCAGAAAATGCTACAATAATTCTAGCATTTGGGATAAAGTTTGGTAAGAAAATAAGTCTATGATATGTGGGACAAATGCTAAGAAAGATGTGGCGCACTATAGTTATGACAGTGAACCAAATGACAGCCCGAACAATGTAGCATGACTAACCTGTGGTCACAAACCAACATGCTCTTAAATTATAGCTAAATGGATGACTATTGTCTAATGTCCGAAAGACACTGCTAATTAATACTCAGTATAAAACTTTTGAGAAAATTCAGTATATAAGTTTAATATACTAATTAATGATCAAAGTTCTCTTTGATTTTTTTTATAAGGACTCGTTGAGAGTTTAATTTAATCAAGAGCCCCATGCTATCAAAGAGAGGATATTTTTTCTACGGGTTATTAAAGATAGAATAGTTTTTTTTCTTAAAAAGAGATAGAATAGTAACAATAGTTATCAACAGTCGTAGCTACTTCCGTGTATTTTGAATCCGTTTGACTGCCTGATGCATCTGCATGTGAAAAATTATCGCTTGCATATGGCTTAAAACGGCGGAGTCCTAGCTGAACAGGACAGTTTAACGATGCCAGGTGTTACGTCACTTTGTATAATAATTAAGTAACTAAAAATAATTGTGCCATGAAAATGGTATTGATTGGTTGAGGGCGTCCAGACGAACGGAGGTATCCCCCACGCTACGCCCAATAAAGGAGACGCGTCAGGTTAGAATTTATATATAGATAAAATTCCCTAAATTTATATAAAGAAATTCTAATAAATCTCAAAGGCCCAATATATGTGTCACACCCAATTTTAAGGATAAAATTGAATGCACAAAACTCGTGTGTGCCCAGGAATCAATCACACACACAAGCTGACAAATTACATAAAATATCATCACGGTGTCTCATACATCAGAGTTATAATAAAACTTAATCTTATACATCACAGCGGAATAATAAAAAGATAATAAAACTCTCGTGGCCGTCATCACAGGGAAGGTCAACTGGTTGACCACAAGCCTAATAATCCTCCGAAAACTCTTCATACCCGTTGTCATCTGTTATCCATCCGGAATTTTTTATCCAAGTAAAGAAAATAAACAAGTGTAAGTACATTCCGTACTTAGCAAGCTAACATGGGGTTATGAAGCTCAAAAAGGATAGACTCTGGTTTACTGCAGTTAGCATTTTTAATAGGTCAAGCTTTTATTCTCAATTATTATCAAATTATGCTTAAGCTCCCATTTAATTCCCATAAGAACATATAACAGAGTCATGTGTACCATATATCATCATTAAACAACTTTATAAGATCATCATCAAGTATCCAGTTATTCTGTGAGTTTTTCGGGCCGCTCGTAACCGTGAGCACGGCTGTTATAACAATTTGTTACCCTCTGCAGAGGTGGTGCACATTCACCGCGAGTCGTGATCCCCATATGCCCGGGTTAATTACTCCCATGTCACTACCAAGGTGAGCGGGCAGGGTACACTATGAAGCCATTTCATAGGTTTCCCTAACAAGTTAGGGCCGCTAGGTTTCCTTGGCAGGCAGATGTAGGAACCCCCTTTCCTATGGCACATATCCATCGCGGCTATACTCATAGGAACAGAGGCAGCCCTATACCCAACGTGGCAAGCCCCATTTGCGCCAAAAAGGTAACCTCTAACTAGCTAGGAAAGATCCTATTACTGAGCTAAAGTCAGAGCCATATGACTCTCCCGGTTGCACTGTCAGTCCCAGCTTTTGCCGACAGATAAGTCCTTATGGAGGGCCGGAAGCAACATGAACAAAGGTCATTTGCACTTTTGCCCTATGGAACAGTTGTTATAAATCATGTTACTCATTTTGTTCCATAGTATCATTCGTCAACATGTATGTCAAATTCAGTTAGAGCACTAACAATCTACCCATATGCATTTAACCCATAGGAGACAAGGAACATGATAAACAATCGCTAGGATATCCTTACGGGTATCAAAATTAGACACATGCAAATGTGTAATTGATTAAGGTGAAATAGGACATCAAGGAAGGCCCATGCTATACTTGCCTTGGTTCACAAACTCGTGCTGGTCCTGCTGATCGTCGAAGAGTTCTTGGTCTCCAACGTTTTCCTCACCGTCTGAACACGACCAACACGGCAACATACAACATTCCAAAAGCATTCATGTAAAGCAAACATTCCTATCATTAGAACAGTACACCAACAGTATTGAAATCAAGATAAAATGTTTGTAAAACTAATCTACGTCTCGCTACGATCACGTCAACGCGAAGTTCACGAAAAACGGAGCTAAAATGCGAAAGTTATGATTTAAACGGGTTTTCCTATAGCCATATATTTAATTAAATCTAATCATGAAATTAAAAAGTTCTAAACTTGACTAACAGTAGCTCCCACATGTAGCTTATGAAATTACGAAGCTAACGCTATTTGAATGGATCAATTCGGAGCTAAAACGATAATTTTATAAGCAAAACAGTTCAAATGGCATTTCTGTAATTACTGAAAACGTATTTTTGACTTAAGCCGTGGAGTTTACGCTTTCCAAACGGGATTGCGCATTCGGGAAATACGCTTTGGGCTGCGGGTTAGGACTTAGAAAAGTCCAGGGACTCTTTAGCAAAATTACCCGCGAAGGGGTAACTTCTAATCCTGGCCGTTGATCTCGCGATGGGCGGCTAGGATCGGCCTGGGGAGGGACGGCCGGCCGGAACAGTGTCACCGGCGGCCAGGCGCCATGGCCGGCGGCAGTGGACTCGCCGGAGCGCACGGTTAGGGGCCTACGGGCCACGGTTTTCCAAACCTAGGGCACCAGGAGGTGGCACGGGTTCATGCGAACTCGCCTAGGCCGGAAGAGTGGCCGGAGGGTGCGGCCGTGGCGGCGGTCGCCATGGCCGGCGGCAAGGAGCCCACGGTCACACGCGAAACAAAGTCAAACGGCCATGAAACACGCTAAAAACTGCACGGGAAGACAGAGGGGATCGAGGGGGTTCTCACAGAG